CCACGTGAACCCCTTTCAGACTGACCATGTGTCCTCTCTTTCCCGTGCTTATGTGCCTGTCCCCCTACGTGAACCACACCTTCCAGACTAAACGTGTAACACTTCAAAGTTACCAATTAGGTGTTTGTTATGGGAACCTGGCTCTTTCCCYGYCTAATGTGTCCATCCCCCCACGTGAACCACACTTTCGATACAAAACGTATGATATCTTCTCACAGATCCCCTATATATAGCTTGCTTGTGCATTGCTCTTATTTTACTCTGAACACAATGAGTCGGCGCCCGATCAYACGTTTTTCTGTCAGAGAGGCTCTTGACCTTTTTTTTCAAACTGATGAAGATGGGATTGGAGTTGAACCAGAAATAGAGGAGGATGTTTCAGAAATAGAAGACAACGATCCTGATTTTGATCCAGACCATCARGAGACCGAACAGTCAACATATGGCGAGGAAGAGGCCCCTGAGGAAGAGGTACCTGGGGAAGAGGCCCCTGTGGAAGACACACCTGAGGTGACATTCCAGTCCAAGGATGGCAACTTGCTCTGGTATTCATCCCCCCAGGACAGAGGAGGCAGAACAAGAGGGGAAAATATCATTAGYATGTCACCAGGGCCAACACGGTATGCAACATCTCGTGTGGATGACATCAAGTCCAGCTTCCAACTCTTTTTACCAGAGTCCATTGTGGAAATTATACTGGCGATGACAAACCTGGAAGGGGGGCGTGTGWTMGCGGACACATGGAAGGCCTTGGACCAGGTAGACCTCCAAGCCTACATGGGTCTGTTGATTKTAGCAGGAGTACATRGGTCCAACAATGAGGCTACAAAAAGTCTGTGGGATGCAGAGTCAGGGAGGCCTATATTCCGGTCAACTATGTCCCTGCAACAGTTTCATGTCCTCTCAAGAATTATCAGATTTGATGACAGAGCTACACGACCTTTCCGCTGGCGAGACGACAAACTGGCTGCCATCAGGAACGTTTGGGACAGGTGGGTGGAGCGCCTACCACTGATGTACAATCCAGGCCCTGAGGTGACAGTGGACGAGCGCCTGGTCCCTTTCAGAGGTCGCTGTCCATTCAAACAGTACATCCCAAGCAAACRAGGCAAGTATGGGATCAAGATCTGGGCAGCATGTGATGCCAGGAGCAGCTACGCCTGGAATATGCAGGTTTACACAGGGAAACCTGTTACTGGAAGGCCAGAAAAAAACCAAGGCATGCGTGTTGTGTTGGACATGACAGCCGGTCTCAAGGGGCATAACATCACATGTGATAACTTTTTCACATCACATGGTGACCTGATTGCAAAATGCCACTCCTGTGTCTGAACACACACACACACACACACACACACAATGTGTTCATGTTGATGTTCTGATGTTCTGTGAATTTGGTCTCTGTTTTGATTTTTCTACAATAAATGTTAATTTTGGAATACAACTTTCAATTTCTGTGTCTATTCACTGCAGTTATTCGTGTAACCAGTAGTCTGAGACATTGTTTACAGGTTAAAAGGGAGTGAAATACAATTTGGTGACGATCAATGGTTTTTGTGTTAATGTAAGGGCAGTTAAAACAGGCCGGTCAAATTTGACCGGGAGCACCAAAGTAAGGGGGGAGAAACGAACACGACACAAAGGTTAAAAGGATAGTTCACCATTAGTTAGATGTGTGATGATGTGTGCCTTTGTGTTAGTACAACCATATGATATGGAACATGCAGCCTCATATACCTCAACACCATGGCTTCAAACCTCAAAATGACAGCTAAGCAGCTTGATATATGTAGATGTAAGTACTGTTCGAAAGCTCATTTATGCTGCCTTTACAAACGAAAAAAGATTTGTTTCAAACAGTGCAGCCATCACAGCCCACATGTTTCCATTCGTCCTTTATCTTGGTTGCATTGTTGTTGTGCCTGGATGATCATACAGGTGCCCATTCTTACCAATTCGCATTCTCTCCCCAAAATGTTTAGCCAATGTTCTAAATGATTCAGTTTCTTTCCTCTAGGCTGTCAATTGGCTACTTTGCTGGTGCTGGTGGTACTGTCCGTTTCGTTTGTTTCGTTTGTAACTGTGAGCAGAAGACGTGCACAAATACAGACAAAATGAACTCAGAGTATGGATAGAAGTCGAGCTATGATGCACCTCTGTCAGTGAAAGAAGGTGTTTAATGTGTACAAACAGTAAAATTAAATGGTTACATCGAGTCACTGGCTTATATCACTGACTGGCTTTTTTTCCAACTGGCATGCTTCAAATTAAGTCTATTGAAAATATTGGAATTTACTAAAGATAATGAATTGAAGCTATTCTTAGCAAGTTTATCACACACACACACACACACACAGGCAGGGTCTTATCAGAGCAGAGGAGAGTCTAATTAGCTCGTCATTAGCCGGGTTTCATCTTACTGTGGCCATTAGGAATGGGACAGTTACTGTGAGTGTTCAGATTTAATGGAAGCTGAGGGACTCTGTTGTCCCTCTTGCCTTCTTATCTTCCTCTCTCTGCCTGTCCCTTTCTTATCTCCACCACCACCTCTTTTTTTTCCTGGTCCACGAGGTCAACAGAAGCTGCTCGAAAAAAGTCGGGAGCCTGACATCTAAGATGCTAATGAGCGCTTTTTGAGGGTTTTGAAAATGTAATCAATTCAGAGTTTCATGAACCTCAAAGACGCAAAGAGAAAGTTCGAAGCAGGAAAAGTTTAGCCATAATTTATATCCAAGTCCAACTTTGTAAGCAGAGCTGTCTGGTCATGTTTTCTCCATCATTTTTCATGCTCTTTATACACTCGAAAGACCCCAAGGAGGAATTTTAAGGTCAATTTTAAAAGAGATTTTCTTTCTCCAGGGCAAATTACTACAGAGAGCAAATGGATTTTCTCCTAGCCTCTGTATTATATAATTCTAGCCAGGGTTTGCTTAGATCTGTTTCCACTGCGGTGAGGCTATTTATAGGTTTACACAGTTGAGTAAAGAGCAGTTCACCTATGATTGCAAATGCATTTAAACTGCATTTTCCACAAGTCTTCGTTTCCGAGTGGTTCAGCAGTTTCTTACTTTCTGTGTTGAATGTAAATTTTGCATCGTGACCTCTATCCTCCCCCATTGTGACATGGCCCAGTTTAACACTCGCTGCTAATAGTGGCATTAGGTACTAACTAGATCTGCGTGTCACCTAGGACAAAGACACAACAACCACAACCAATCAATATCTCATCCACATTAAAGATTTAACAATTTTGTGCTAATTGATGACTATTAAATGATAGGATGCTCTGACCATTTTGAATGAGTGCACCCATAACACTCACACGACTAATGGTTACTTCTAGTCATTAAGTAATGTTCGTATAATTTTGTTAACTCCTGACTCTGTGTGGGCGAGAGGCTTCATACTCTACATGACATGCCAGATGCAAAGACAGATCAACTAGGAGCTAGGCGGTGGAAACTTGTATTTTTCCACCTGTATGTGATGCACTTTCACCAGATATTTCAACAGACGGCTCATGTTTACGCCGCCCTTACATGCTAAAGACTTGTTCCTCTTTTGGTTTCAACCCGAGTGAAGTATAATCACACTTCTGAGTTTGTGTGTGTGTTTGCATGTTTGTGTGTGTGTGTGTGAGCTGCCTCGCCCCTAGCACACAGGGGAGAACACAGAAAATGCATTGTTAACAAATATCTTAATCAAAAATGAAGTTGATGTTGATGAAATGTTTAAGATAAGTTTTGTTGTTTGGTTCATGATGTGTGTTTCCAGCCATTCATTTGCTGATTATTATTATTATATTTTTTATCAGCTCAGGCTTAGCTTTTGTCTTTGACTTAGCATATCTGCTGCTGCTTATGAACAAACAAGATAAGATTTATTGGGTGTCTTCATTTGCAAACACTTCTTGTCTCAATTTGGTCAGCCTTTAGAAGTCAGCAGTGTACAGCTGAGAATATAGCAGGCGTAAATAGTTCAATAACATATCTACTTTTTACCATATGAGGAATTTGATATATGCCTTCATTTCCATCGCCTTTCAGGACAAGCTCTTCAGAAACAGAACATGCTGCCCTGACATAACATTTGAATTTTAAATGTCAGTTTCAAACATGGCTACTTGAAAATCTAGGTTAAAAAGCAGTGCAGAAGTCTGCTTCATATGCACGAGTGGAATAGAAACTTTATCTGCCTCAATTTAAAAAGTGGACTGGGAGCAGTAAAAGGGATTTCTCAGTGATGTCAGGCTGTGTTGAGTGAAGAATATTGCTTGCAATGGCTTCAGGGCAAAGCAAGCAATAATTTATATATTCTAGACTTGGTACGTGCATAAGTTTGTGCATTTTTGAGCAATATATTCCCCAGTTGTCCATGTTTGTGTACATCATCTTCTGGGTGAATGAGTTAGTGATCTAAATGCTGTTTATTACTAGAACAGACAATTTTTTAACAAGATTCAGTGCTTTGGTTTGAATGTATTCGAGAAAAAGTAACATAATCCTACTCATAGATGTGATTTGTTGCTGTTCTGGCTTTTAAACTAGCAGAATAATAGTGCTGTGAGCTGATCTGACTGTGTGACATTACGTACGCTTGCACCTCTGCTCACTTTGTCCTATCAATGCAAGCCAGCTCATAGAATAATCAAAGACAAAATAATCTTCCCTCTATCTGTTGCGTTCCTTTTTTGCATGAGAATGTAAACATGCTGATTTGAAAAATGCAGAACTTTGTTCAGTCAGGAGGAACAACCTTGTACTTCTCTGTGAAATGTTTAAAATCTTTCAAACTTCCTACATGGATCAAAACGACTGCCCTTTGTGGATATTAACATTTTACGTATAGTTTTTGATTTTTCATAATGTATACAAAAATATTTCATTTATTTTGGCAGATTTTTGCACACGTCTAGTCTGCTGCTAGAATGGTTGACAGTTGGTAGACTGTCAGAAGGATAAGCATACAAACAGATCCATAATCATTTATGATGTGTATCAATAGAGGATTGACACAGTTTTACACAAAAAGAGCAGTAGAGTGTAATTTGATGGAGAATTCCTGCTAATCATAGTTATAATTCTAACCGTTTTTTGAAAAAAAACATCTGTCATGTATCAGAACTAACATTACTGATCCAGAGCTGAGCAGACATGATGGTGAATTTTCCTCCCTGTATTTATTCATCTATAAAGGTTATCAGACAGAGGGAGAGCCTGGAAGTGACTGGAAATCTAATGTTTAATGGTGTTAGCTCTGAGATGAAAGAGGTTTTTGGTCTGAGAGATGAGAAGGGGCCTTTAACACAGTCGTAGACCTGTGGCACCTTGCCAACAGCCGCTAATAGAGCCATAAAGCAATTACTAGGAAACACAGAGAGTGAGAGAGATGGATTATGGGACAGATGAATGCAAGGATGGAGCAAAGGATTTACAGTATGTTGAGTGAGAGGATGGGAAAAAGCAAGAAAAAAAGGAATGTGAATTTTTTGAGAACAATAAGAAAAGTGATGGAGGGAAACAGGATTTGTGCCATTTGATATGACCATTAGCTGATAATCAGTTTGAGGGGGAGAGGATACTGGAGAGCAGATTGTCCAGACTGCCTGGCCAGCTCCCCTTTGGTCCCTGACACAGTTATGTGTTGGTGTGTCATCATTGTTAATATGTTTACAGGATGTTTGTTTATCTCCGCTCAGGAAACATGTTTAACATAGTCACTGAAGATGGAAAATGGAAAACTAGATTTGCATAGCAGGAGTACAGAGGCCATCATGTTTTTCTTGCTTCCAGGCAGATCCTATAGAATTGTATATGTGTGTGTTCACGTTGTTATTCAAACCAGCCAGAGGACTTTGAATATGGAAAGTGGTAACAAATGTTATTCTGGCTTATCGGTCTTTGAGCTTGGCAGCTGAGTGCATCTTTTTTTCTTCCTGCTCTGCTTCCTCCTAATACATTAAAAATGAAAATGACTGTGTATTGAGAAGATTTGTGTTGTTTTCTGCAGAGAAGTGGAAGTGAAAAATATTATGTACGCAATAAAATGGATCTGTTATATTTTTAATGTTTTTTATTTTTTAATCACTTTCTGACAGTTTCTTTTCCTGGAATAGCTTGTGGCTTATTTTATCATTTCAATTCTGGCACAGATGGAAAAGGTCAAAGTTATTTTATTAAATTTACATCTTATACACTTCTTACTCTGTCAGCCTCGTAAGAAAAGCCTAGCTTTTGCAGATACAGAAACTAGGTAAATGAATGTGAGAAAATAACGGCAGACAAATGAAAGATGTCACCCCATTTACTTTAGTGTATAAGAGAATCAGATTGTGTTTTAAAATGGGAGCATAAAGTTTGATAAACTGGACCTTTTCATACTGTAATTTATGTGCATTTGTACTCTGGGAGTGAGTGTGGGCGAAGGTGTGTACGATCTTGATTTTTTTTGTGTGAGCATATACTGTGTGTGTGTCTGGAGGGTACAAGCAAAAGATAAATACAAACGGAAATGTGGAGCGCCTCTTTGGAGTGAGTCCCCCTCTGTTTACATGCATGATGACAAACTGAATGACTTGATTCCCTCTGTGTTTTCTTTTTCCCCTGCACAGGCGTTACGATGAGGTGACCCACATTAAGATCCAAAACTCAGGCGACTACTATGACCTGTATGGAGGGGAGAAGTTTGCCACACTGGCCGAGCTGATCCAGTATTACACAGAACAACAGGATCTGCTGCGTGAGAGGAACGGCCATGTCATCGAGCTCAAGTACCCACTCAACTGCAAAGACCCCACTTCTGAGAGGTGCTGACACTAACACCCCCACACATGCAAATATCTTCACATTTGCGTACAGAGAAACACAATGTGGATAAACCAGGCAGATAGATGCAAATAACACATTAAATTACAGCTCAACATGTTGTTAAAGTGTTTTCTCTGATTTAATAATACATGTACGTCTCTGACCACAGACAGACAGCTTCAGTGTCATACTCAGGAGCTTAAAAATGCCACGAGAGGCAGCTTAACCACCTGAGAAATGTTACGAGTCCAGCTCTCATTGCAGTTACAGAGTGCTGTTACAGCCTAAATGCAGTTCTGAAGCGTTTTCACCCTACAAAGATTGAAACACTTTTTCAATATTATGCTTTGACAAGTGAGTGGTGCAATTTCAGTGCCTTCACCAGTAAAGAAAGATCAGGCTCACAGGTGAACTCGTATTTTCTTGATCAGTTCAAGGGTCTATACTAGAGATGTTCCAATACAGATTCCGATACCAGGTTTTTGTGTATTGGCCGATAGCGATTACCTATCCGACACCAGTGCATTTAAAAAATAAAAATGATATAACATGTATACAACTTGCTACTAAACTGTATGGAAGTGGTAATTGCTATCAATGTTGGCCTGGCTCAGGTTAACTTAGAACTTCCTTCATCATTCAGTTTGGAAGTCATACCTGAAAAAGAACACAAATAAATAAAAAGTACAGTATCGCCATTTTAGTTTTGTGACTGTCAAGTGTAAAACATGGGGACATTTTAGCTAGCTCTGGCAGTATCGGACATCTCTGATCTATACTGAAGGCATCTTCTTAACTATACTGAGGTATCTGTCCCGTCTCTAGTCTCACACAGGTGTGCACACTGTAAAGACACTACACAACGTTAACACACTTAACTTAGCTTACATGCCATGTATTTTATATATTTAAAAATTATTATAATTTATCCCTTTATATCTGCTATTAAACAGCAGCATTTTAAATATATTAGTCTGATGGTATTGTAGGAATATAATTCCACTTAGATGGTAATATTGTACCATTGTTCACTAGTTAACAGTTTTAATTGACTGGTACTGGGGAATTTAACTTATTAAATTTGTACTGATTCACATATGTGTGCTTAGAGATACTTCATGAAGAGAGGATGCGTTCTGTGCACACACACCCACACAATAAACTCAGATGCACTTCACATCCACATGCATAAATAGTGGCATATTCCCACATGCATCTTCAAAAAAACAAAGTGGGTGGTGCTGCTGTTGTTTATGCTCACTAGCAGCTACACGAAAACATCAAACATTCTTGTATACACAGGCTGGACGCAGATAAACACGTCATCACACCTACACACCTGATTTGAAATGTGAGGTTATTATAGCGCGTGTATTAGATTGGAGTCTCACTCACACATGAACAGGAAGCATTTTGAAAAGCAACATATTGATCAGGATTTTCAATGAAAAAAAAAAATATATGGCTGCTAAGCAAGTTGTATAAGTTCACTTTTTCGACACATTTGCACATGGCAGTGTGTTTATCCCAGTTTCTGTTTAGGTCTATGAACTTGTGATCTATGGCTGTGGTTTAAGTGCTTTTTCCATTCTACAAACATCTGTTGTCAGAGCCTCCTACACGCTCTTGCACACCACACAGGAATAAAAACACAGACTTGCAGGTTTTCATCAGCAATTGAGTGAGGATGCATCGATGTAAGAAACACTTGTATGCGAGTATGCGTCTTCTCTCACAGTGCACATATAGACGTTATGTTAACCCATAACCTACCAATATAGAATTTGTTTTCCGTTGAGGCAGGAAGCATTTTGCTTGTCCTCCCACTCATGTGGTCAAGTTTTTGCCTCAGCTTCTCACTTGTCTTGGTAATCCATCTACCTTGAAACCACAGCCTGAGGCTGAGCGTATTGATCTCCACATGAGATGGAGAAGCAGCTGCTGAAAGCATCCAGTCTGAAATAATAAAACTGATGTTCACTATGTTTTTGAACATGTCTTGCCAGCTGTATGTTTATATTTGATATCTCTAAGGTACTGTAGATTCATGATAATAGTCACAGCCAGTAAATATGACGTCATCACCTAAAGCTAAGATTCCAGGTACTTTAAGCACAATATTAAAATTGTTATACTTAAATTGTAGACATAAATGTCTATGTTTCCATACCTGCACATATATGCTTATGTTTATATACCAGCAAATATAAACACGGATATAGATGCAGATATGTCTGTGAAAAGCTCATATTGACATGTCAGTCCAGCTCTAGTTTGTTTCTCTATTATAGTGTTTGTTTCTCACAGTCTGTTGGTTCACTCATCTCCAGGTGGTACCATGGACACCTGTCTGGGCGAGATGCAGAGAAACTGCTCACAGACAAAGGCAAGGCCGGCAGTTTCCTGGTACGGGAGAGCCAGAGTAAACCAGGCGACTTCGTCCTCTCAGTTCTCACCCATGAGGAGAAACATGAAAACGTGGATCGCAAGACCAAGGTCACACATGTTATGATACGCTACCAGGTGAAGGAACGCAGTTCAGACCCCGTGATGTATACAGGAACTTACATTTATTAAGAGTTTTGTTTAACTGGATAAAGACGCAGCAGAGGGTTATAGTTGACATTAGACCACCTCATCATACTGTTGGTGCTTTGAGTCATGTGAGTCACTTTAATTTTAAGCAGAATTTTTATTTTCTTTATTTTCTTTGTCTGACAATGAAGTGACTGTAGGTGTTTTGCCTTCACTGCTGGTCATCAGATCATGACAAATAAAATCCGACTAGGAAGCAAATGCATGTGATCACTTCCTTTTTCCTATCTCCATTTCTGCCCGTCTGGATCACAATATAGTCATAAAGTTTTCAAACTAAAATGGGGCCATCAACATTTCCAAACTTTTAGGCTCTTGAGTGTTGTGAGGTTGCAGTCGTACATTTTGAAACAGTAATGTGTTAAAATTAAAACGTGTGTGGCTGTACCCTAATAACGGCCCAACTATTGATGCCTGTCTCCAGCAGGAAGGTAAATATGACGTGGGCGGAGGTGAGAGGTTTGACACTTTGGCTGATTTGGTGGATCACTACAAGAAAAACCCCATGGTGGAGAAAAGTGGCATCGTAGTGCACCTCAAACAGGTATGGAATTTAAATTGAACAAATAAAGCAAACAAAATAATCCAATCTGGTGACTCTTTTGCATATATACCCTGAAGGCATGGATATGTTGCAATATGCTGGTTTAATTCAAAGCACACTCAAATGTTATTTTCCTGACCTGGTTGTTGTGCTTTCTTACATTTATTTTTAACCAATATTTTTTTTTTTGTGTTGATCAATTCAATTTCTTGTTCCAACATGACAACAACAGCCATTTAATGCCACGAGGATAAATGCGGCCAACATTGAGAACCGGGTACGGGAGCTCAACAAAGTAGCAGATAACTCTGAAAAGCCCAAACAAGGATTCTGGGAAGAATTTGAGGTATGTATTCTCAAAACTGTCAACACCAGAACTATTACTATCTATAAATACAATTTAAACAAAAATGGGGGATATTTATATTTCAGCTCATAGTCTTTGTCAACATCTTTATCAAATGAGGCTTCAGTTAAGAGCATTTTTGTGCAACTGATACAAATCACAAATGTTATGATGTGAATATTTTCCATTGTTTCAGTGCATATTAATTGATGGATTATTAATAGGCTTTTCCTGAAGTATTTTACAGTTTGTTTGTCAATAAGATCATATAATGATCATTGTATGGTTGTTTAATTTATACATTTGTTTCTTGCATGCTTGTCTTAGAGATTATTTGGAAATCAGGAAAACAGTGTTAACATATTAATGAGTCTATCTGGCTTCATATGTATGATATACAATTGGTTTCCATTATCACAGCTAATAAAAAAGATCAGATATGCATCCAAAACTAGTGTATGTGAGTGTTTTTGTATTTGAAAGGAACTTCATAATGTGCACTCCACATGCAGTTTTTATGTTCTTGGACTCCAGGGTGACATTTAATTACCTCACCAGTAGCAGTCACATTAGAGGGGATGTTATTTTTGTTTGGAACTTCTTTGGAAAAAGTGTCATTTTTCTTTTCGCTCTCTGTTTTCTTTCGTCATTCACCATCAGGTACTTCAGCAGCAGGAGTGCAAACTGCTGTATCCCCGGAAAGAAGGCCAGAAGCCAGAAAACAAGAGTAAAAACAGATACAAGAATATCCTCCCCTGTGAGTCAAGCTGCAACCTGCCATTTCCTGTCTCTCCAACTTCCTGTGGAAACAGTGACACAAATATACAACAGACCATATAGAGGCCTTATAGAGGCCTCTGTTAAGTGTCAAGATTTGTTTTCGATAACTCACAGACATCAATTGAAATTTGACTTGAAAAAGGTGAACATTTTGTTTTGCACTTGTGACAGTTTGACTTTGTCTTTTTCAGTCGACACAACTCGTGTTGAAATCAGGGAAATGGATCCAGAAATTCCTGGGTCAGATTACATCAATGCCAACTACATCAGAGTGAGTCTTTTCAGATTCATACCTCATATCAAACCTTGTATCAACATTTTTGCTTGATTAATAACAGTAATACACAGCAAACACTCAATATGAGTGGAATTAAAGGGGAGCTGCATCTTTCAAAAGATTGATGAAATTGCAACATAGATAATGTCTTAAAAGACTATTTCCTGTCTCAGTAGCAGCACTTAATTTTTTATCAAGTTTTTTATTTTAATTGTGATTTTATTTTATTTTTTAAGTACATTTTACTTTTTCATTTCTATTAGAATATGATTCTAAGGTCTCAGAGTAAAACTACTACATAAAGTATATAACTTTATGTGCTCTACAGAGTCTGTATGACGAGGGACGCCACATGGAGGACTGCAAATTCTTCATCGCCACCCAGGGGTGCCTACAAAACACAGTCAATGACTTTTGGAAGATGGTTTATCAGGAGAATACACACGTCATTGTCATGACCACAAAGGAGATAGAGCGAGGGCGGGTGAGTGTTCCGCTTAAACAAAATAAGCAAATAGTCAGTAAGATAGTGAAGTTAAAGGTTCAGTGTGAAGAATTAAGTGACATCTAGTTGTGAAGTTGCATGTTGCAGCTGAACACACCTCACCTCACCCTCCCCTTTCAAACATGAGAGAGAAACCTGTAGTAAACTTCAGTTGTTATAAAAACTCAAAGGTGTTTAGTTTGTCCAGTTTGGACTAATGTAAAAAACATGGTAGAGAGGACCTGCTAATGATGTAAATATAAAGTATGTAAATATAAAGGGCCTTTTCTGGGCTAGAGAAAACTACAATTCATACAATTAGATTAAACAAACTAGTGAAAACATCATTAAAATTCTGCCAATAGTTCCCTTTCACCTAAATCTTACACACTGGACCTTTAAATGGTATGAAATGCTACTGTCTTATGTATTGCTAAACTAGGAAACAGTTTAATAAAGTAGAAATCGTTTTTTCTTATTTTGTTTTAGTAATCCACTGCTTTGAGCACTTAAGATTTCATAGTGAGAGTGGGAGTGAAATTTCGCAAATCTTAAACATAACATGTTAAAAATCTAGCAGTGAACAAATGTAGAAGGTGCTTTCACCACCTTTAAAAGTTAAAGAACATAACAGGACTGATAAAATCCTCGGTGTTGACACTGGTACATTACAGATTTAGCCCTTCTCTCTAGGTTAAATGTTGTCTTGCATCAACCATTTTGTTCTGTATTTTCAGATGAAAGAGCACACTTGATGGCATTAACTGATTCTAACAGAGATGGGTGGATATGCCTAGTAGGGATGATGGTTTGTGTGTGTGTAGGGGGGAGGGTAGAGAGAGATGGCTGACAAGGATAGTATGACAGTTAATCTGATTGTAAAGCTGCTTGAGATGAGCTGATTCTTTAGATTGTCTAATGCTTGTCACCCTCCCTCTGCTCTCCCTCTCTCTCTATCTCTCTTTCACTACTTCCTCTGTTTCAGAACAAATGTGTACGTTATTGGCCGGACCTCTATGCCACCAAGGAGTTTGGGAGGGTGGTAGTGAGGAACATAGATGAGCAGCCAGCGCAAGACTACATCCTGAGGAAGCTGGAGGTGACCCGACTGGACAGGGTAGGAAGAACTGTGTTCTCAGTCAGAGTTAACCCACTGACCTGGGGTCAGATTATCTAACACTTCACTCACACACACACACAGACACACACACACTCACACACTCTCAATCCTCTAGCACATGCTTGATCTTACAGAAGGTTTGACTACATGGCCCTGAAGCAGATTCAGAAATAGTAGAAAGTAAAAGTGCACACAAGCTTTTAAAAATCCTTAACAATATTTTCTTACAATGAAGCTTTAGATGATTAAAAATTGATTTAGTGCTGTTAATTTATAACTGAAAGTTAAATAATAGTAAATAAAAGGCTGTTTCAATTGTAATCCGATCAGAGTTGTGATCCTGAATTAGGTTGAACAGGGAGGAATTTAAAATGGTGTGTAACTTGAGGATACCTAGTCTTGTAGTTAGTGTGCAGATGTAATATCTTGTATATTTCTATTCAAAATCCTGTATTCTATCAAAAGTACAATGGTGGAGCTCAGTCTGCTAAGCCTGTCTGAGAACAACTTGGCACAATTTCACCAAAGACTGCCCCCAAGTGATGCTTCAGTCAAGCCATAATGTTTGTGTGTTGGAGAAACACAGTTAAACTAAAGTAAATCCACCATCAGTTATTCTCTGAGATATTGCAGTTAATCAAGGTTACTGTCAAGCAGGAGACTAAAGCAAACAGAGAAGTCTGCCCAAGCTCCTGCACGGTCACTGACTCACTGTATATAGTAACGGCTCTTGGTTGCCTTAATCCTCCGTTCTTATCCTAATCATTAATTCCTGAGTCCACTGTAAGAAATGAGGAACAGAATCCACAATCCGCACTCTGCACAAAAGCATATTCCTGCATTCAAGGATACTGATTAGTGCTGGTGTATCTGCAGTGTGGCAGACTACCAGAGATTATTCCTCCATCACAGTACAGCAATTAGCATAGTTCAAGTGAGCTCAAAGACATTTTGTACAGACAATGAATGTGAAAAATACACACTTGAATCACCTGAATCAGACTGCTAAAGTATCATTTTAGTTTATCTGGACTTCACAGTGTATCTCTGTGTGGAATGAGGTTATGTGTTTTGATGAACACTGAGGAGACAGAATGGAGACAAAAGAGATAAAAGACAATGATACTGTAAGTGTGTAATGATAAAGTTGACCACCTTATCAATTTTTTTTTTGTTGTGTCTTCGTTATAGAAGGAGCCTCTGAGGTACATCTGGCATTATCAGTATCTGAGCTGGCCCGACCACGGGGTACCCAATGAGCCAGGCGGCGTGCTCTGGTTCTTAGAGGAGGTCAACCGCACTCAGAGCGCCTTTCCAGACACTGGACCCATTGTTGTCCATTGCAGGTACAACCAGGAGGGAGGGAGGGACACCTTTCATATTATAATGCTTGGAAGAGACTGTAGTGGCGCCTTAACTTAAATACTGCTCTGTCAGGTCAAGAGAATAAGTGAGCTGATCTACAGTACTAACACAGTTTTCCAGCAGATATTAACAACAACAGTAATTAGAATTCAATCTTGTGTGCACTCCTGTGCACACTCAAGCACACACAGGACTGACACTAGTGCAGTTTTACTTTGATACTTAAAACAAGTCCTAGTGAAGACATTCACAACATTAGACAAAAAAGTAGCTGTAGGAAAAGCTCTGTGGGCTGCAATTGGCTTTTTGATGTTTATAAAAGAAAGCTCTGTCAGACATAAAACCAAATAAAAAGAGGGAAAAGAAGAAAAAACATAATAAAATATATTTACTAACCTTAGTACAAATCTACATAAAGAAAAGAAAACAAGGGAAAAAGAAAACCAACTATTTTAAGACACACACAAAACACAAGGTGGCACTCACCTCTTAACTAATGTGTTGAACAGAAATTGAACCTGTGTGTCATATGTAAGGAGGATTAGCATTCACCTCATCTTTCTCCCAACAACCTATAGAATGATCCAGTTTCACTTATCAAGTTAAAACACATCTTATGTACTTTGTTGGGTGCGAGCTATTATAAGATTATTTTACACAGACAATTAACTGGCTGGAATTGTTGAAGGGTTTTCCCCACAAGACATGAATTTATGAAATTTCGATTTCATGAAATATGCTTTGAATCGATCAGTGACATGCACTTTAATTAAGTTTTAAAATTGTGTCTTTGTTATAGCAACAGGTCTTCACAGAGTTAGCAAAGATTTTCTCTCAACACATAAAGCCGGTCCTCTGCAAACACACAGGCTCTTAATTTCACTTAATCCTTATGTTGCCACTTGAGCTGAAACTTTTTTGAAACAGCACAATTTGTTGTCGCTGTGCTGTGATCAGGATTTTCACCTCGTCTTGACAGAAAAGACCAGAATCATAATTTCTGATTTGGTTTAAAAAAGCTGAGAAATGTAAATATTTCTGAATCATTTTCATGTCACACAGATTTAGTTCAAAGTGAATTAATTCCTGCTGGATTGACAGATGTCTAAATATTTTTTAATTTGATGTTTTGTTGTCAGCAAGCATTCACTGATATATTTCACTTTCACAGCAGACATGTTTGGCCACTAATATAATGGATTTCTCCATTAGATGTGAATAGAAAAGCCCAATCTCGCTCCATGTCTATCACAATACCCAGCCACTAAAACATGTTGTTCAAAGATGATGACAGAGTGACAGAAAACATCTGACTCACTCACTGAGCAGTGGGCTGTTGATAAATGAATGTTGTTATAGTGGGGAGAATAACTTTGAGTTCCCAGAGTGATCTAACAGCAATTTGAACAACAATAACAGCAACAACAAATTCAAGCTACCTTATTTCTGGTTCCAACTTATAATTCACAACCTTAAACTTTACTTGCATTGATATGTAGGTTTTGCAAAAACCCTTCTGCTCTTGATCCTAATAAAACATGTTGATAATGAGCAGAAAAAAACATTATTTTTTTTGCCTTGATAATGTTTTTTAGGATTTTGATTACACATGGTTTGACTTTTCACTCCGTTGTTCCCGCAGTGCAGGCATCGGCAGGACAGGCACCATTATCGTCATCGACATTCTCATCGATATTATTAACCGCCAAGGTACGAGACTGTGATATAAAAGTGACACAATTTACTTTTCATTTTACTTTGAATGTTTGTCCTAATTCCTGGATGTGTCTGTGTGTGTGTTTGTGTTCTAGGTCTAGATTGTGACATCGACATCCCTAAGACCATCCAGAGGGTACGGCAGCAGAGGTCGGGCATGGTGCAGACAGAGGCCCAGTATAAGTTCATCTACATGGCTGTGCAGCAGTACATAGACACGGCTCAGAAGAGACTGGAGGAGGAGCAGGTACTCCACTGCATTTAAAATCAAAAATCTATGTTGGCTTGGATTGATGTTTAAAAAAAAGCCAGGACAAAACACTTTTTTGGCACGGCAATGAAGGCTTTAAAATATTTATGTGTTTGATCTCAGAGTCTGAAGGCCAGCACCATATGTTATGTCATGACAGCTAGAGCAGTGAAGCAAACAACTATCTCCAGGGCTGTTCCACTAAATGTGGAACTGTTCAAAGTTTCATTCAGGTCTCAGGACAGCTGGTGAGGTCTTTGAGGCCTCAACCGAGGCTGCATCCACATGACTATGTTCTAGTTCTTTAAAATGCATCACTTTTGCTATGTTTACTTCTGTCATCTACACTTCTAGAGCGCCTAAAAGAAGAATTTTGGAAATGCTATTGGTCCTGTTTTAGTTTGAAAAGTGAGTTGTAGTCTGGACGGGAAAATATCGAGATGTTTGGAAACAGTAATGCAGTCGTCCACATTCGCTTTATGACTAGGTCTTATCAGTCCTGACTACCGGCTGTGTTAAGATAATGTTAACACAAGCTGCCAGTAAAAGCTCTAGTCGTCTTACTTTTCACAACTGTTGTTTCTTGTTGGTCATATTTTCTGTAACTGAGCAGCCAACTTCAGAGTAGACAATCTACTCCCTGTATACACCAGCACGCACATTTCCAGTATACGTCACATGATGGTGTGTTAGTATGGACAGGTACTGTTACTGACACAGAGCTAAAACGCTCACGTGAACAGTATCTAACAGTATCTGACTCATACACTCATGTTGACGCTTTGCAGAGAAATAAGATGAAGGAGAGGGAATATTCCAATATCAAATATCCCCAGATGACCAACTCAAGATCTAAACCCAGCATGGCATCCTCACGCTCTTCCTCTGTGTAAGTACAACTCCTACTGTACAGTGGTGAAGTTTCAGCAGCAAAGGATTTGATTGAGAGACAAGATCACAGAACAATATTAGAGAATCGGTTAAACAGGGAATTTGGAAACTACTGAAAAGTCTAATTATGTGTTTAAAATAAGAGAGGCCTTAAAATGTATTGATTACACACTTCTTTTTTTCTGGCCTGCCAGTAATGATGTTGTATATAGTGTTGTATGAGATGGCAGGCTGTTGAGAAATGTACGTATAAATCATAGGTATAAATATAAATTAGAAGCAGGATTGATGCATCAGTGGGAAGCTGGTCATCTCATTATGGACAATGTTCCTTTCAGCAGAAACTGAGTAGACAAACTTAGATGAATGAATCCTTCTTTCAATGTTTGATCCATCTGCCCATTTTCTACTGCTTACCTAGATCTAGAGTGCATTCATTTAATCAATCATATCTTTAGGAGTCATTTTTGAATACTGCTGTGAAGTACTGAAAAACATCATGAATGTAATTAATAATAATGAATAATTCATGGGCATGGCTGTGTCTTTATTTAGAGACTGCATCTTTCAGAGACGTAGACCACGAAAGCCAAACTGAATAAGACTGTTTTTGGAATAAAGCTTTCTATGATCAACATCAACCAGCTCGTTACGCCCTTATTGCTGTTGCTGAGCAACAGAGCTGAAGTTGGACATGGCGAGCAAGTTTTAGTGCCCCTTGATTATTTTAACATACAGTATGTAACATCATGTCCTGTTTTGCCAGCGCCATTACATCTTTGAAAAACGATCCGTCACTGAAGCGCAGTTAATCCTGGGATAGGTTGGGCAGGGAAGGATCCACTCCTTGCAGCCTTTGTTTCTCGAGGATGTAAAGACTCATTTGTCAGCTGCAGTTGAAGGTTCCTTCGAAATGGGACAGTGTAGTTGCTGCACTGTGACGCAATTGGTCTTCAAACCAAGGATGCAGCCTCTGAATTTAGACACCACTCATATCATCTTTTTTGGTTCTGCATCATACTTTGACCATGAAACTGGAATTAAATGTAATTTTATGTGATCAAATTCAACCTGGTAAACCTGAAGACACCCTGATAAAGTTGTTTTCTCTGTGAATATTTTCTCCTCTTCTTTTAGGATGACAAATGATGATTCGTCGAGTGTGTACGAGAACATAAACTTTAAAAGCCCTCAGACGTCTTTTAGCAGTAACACCAGGAGGTAAAATCGTTGGAACGTCCACATTTCTCTGTCTGCCTCTTTGTAAGTATTTTATTCATTTAATTTACTATCTTCGAATATCAGTTTGGGCCTTGACAGAACCCATTCAGCCACTGTTGTTGAAAAATAGCATCTGGTTATGGGTGTTTTCCGACTTCAAATTTGAAATTTGTCAGAGCATCATCCTTCCTGGTTTGTATTTTTTAAAGAGGATTTGGTTGAGGTAAAAGTGTTGTTGGTACAACATGTTGGATCCATTAGGTGTAGCTTTTGTTGGAAAAATATGAGCCATGATTTGATCTAAAATTTAGGCTTTATGTGAACGTATCATGGAAACTGATTTTGCGACCACCATTTCCTCTATTGAATCAAATTAATTTTCCTCATGTAAGTAGATGAGTAATATTCTCCTACTTTCAAGGTCTGAATTATAGGGTGGCTGAGAAAAGAAAACCTGACCTCCCCCTAAAGCAACAAAAGATTCAATTTATGTTCCATTTATAATCAACCTCAGTTCTCCCAGTCTCATTCATTTTTCACTCATGGTGATTAATAGAACAGACAAGGAATCCAGCTGCATTGAAGTGAGTGATTCATAGCTCTGGTTTGGGGTCATCAGCAGAAGACAGAAAAGAACCGATTTAATTATCTGTGAATGTATTTTCAACTGCATGTCATTCATTTGTCACTTTTGGTTTGTCTGGAGCTGAACATTTATCTAACCAGACATTTAGTAAGAAGTTCACCCCAAAAATAGCAAATGTTAATTTCTTAGTTGCTCTGTTTTTATTCCACCGCACAGATGACAGCCGAAGCCAGAGGCCCTATACATTTGTGTTGTCCCACTATTGTGAATATGATAGCTCAGGAATCCCATCAGGGAATTGTTTAAAGATAAAACTGGTCACAGGTCAATTTTCAAGCTCAAAACATGTTCTGGCTCATGTGAACGTTCACTTGGACTCAAGGATGAACTGATTTAAATGTGTCTTTAATAAATATATTATACAAGTCCGGAACATAGACTGTAAATAAAGATGGAGGACATGACCGCTCCGTAAAAGTGAAGCAAAAGGGTCTCTTTCGCCACCTGGTGGCTGGCTGCAGTATAAGTCTTATAACCTTGTCTCCTCCATGTTAATTGATGGGACATGGATCAAAGATTGTCATTTTAGGTGGTTCTTATTACACTGATGTTTGTTCAAATCCTAATTTTTCCAGTAAGTTGGGTTTTAACTAGTTATTTGATGAAAAACAGGGTTAAATGTCATGATTGACAGCTGAAAGTCAAGATTGTCAAGACTCATGACTGGCTGAGTGTGTATCCACCACCAAGGCTCCTTTCCCTGATCACTACTGAACAGAAATGTGCGAGATGGCGGCACTCAGATCTGTATATTTTAGCGAGATAAGAAGTAGAGAAGTGACGTCCAACTTCGTTTACAGTCTATGGTCTAAACTGCAACTTGACTGGTTGGTAATTCAAAGTGACACCAGTTTACTAAACTTGTCTGTGTGTGTGCTTCAGTTTCAGCTGAGGTGTCTCATTGGCAGCGCCTGAAAATCCCTCACAGGGAGGAGGGAGCATGGTGCTCTGAATACACCGCACAACTGTGGACCCTGCCTGGGCTGCAGGTGGCGCTCTCCGGCTGCTGTCCCGCTGACCCTCTGTCTGGAGTAAAACCTCAACCTCCGTGGAGAGGAGGACTCTGCAGCATAGTGCCTGCGCTCAGGGCCTCTCTGTCCTCCTTAGTCTCTCTCCCTTTTCGCTCTAGCCTCCACAGCTTCTCCCTCTCCTAACCAGCAGAAGTGCCTTGTCACAGGATGTGTCTGTAATCTATTCTCCCCAAAACCTGCTGTCAATTCTGCACTGTTACTGTTTTCCAAACCCTGGAAACCCAACTCCACGTGAAGAAACAACCAGTTTTTCCTCAGGATGACGGATATTGAACAGAGTTTGCCCTTGGTCTGACATGAACAGAGCTGTACGAGACCTACGGAGAGGTCAAAGCTGAGCAGTTTGTCAGCTTGTTCACAGAAACCACTCTGTTCACTCTCACTCTCTTTCTCTCTTTCCCTGTCTTTTCTAGTTGTTGTCTGAACTACCTAAGACTGTTTTTGCTGCGTTCTGCCTCTCCAGCTGTGGTGGTTATTAAGGTGGCCGCTGAGTGATAGCAAGGGCGGTTACATAACCCGCGACAGGATCCTGAAACACATGAAGGGCAAACAAACTCCTTCTTCAAAGATTAAAAAAACTTCTCATTTTAATTTGCACTGTAAAAGTGGATTATTCAATTTTTTGGGAGATTTGTCAGAGTGTTGTGAGAGAGTTGAAAGAAACCTCCTGTGCTGTTGCAAATCAGCAAATTTAGTCATTTAGTCAAGTACTGTCCGGTCATCTGAACGTGACCTCCAGTGGTCCTATTTTTTTTTTTTTAAGTCCGCTTCTCTTCATTATTTCTTGATGCCGTTGATATCATGGTTATGTAACATATGAGATGTTTATTTTTTAAATATAATTATATTTATAAAAGAGCATAATGGTGGAAGAGATCATATTTAAGCACAACTGTCTAAGCAGCAGCCCCCTGTGCTAATTCACATTTTTATCATCATAGTATTTTGAAGTCTACATTTGACAGGAACATGGTTCAGAGGATTCCTGAACGGGTTATTGGAGGTGAGCTCGGCCGACCGCCGTCTCTCGGCTACATTTGTCTGGTCTTTCTCGTTAATCAGCAGGTCTGATGCAGTTCAACATCTGTCGGGGGAGATCGTCACAAGGAGATAAGGCAAAGGGGCCGATTACAGTGGGCCAGATGGCCATCTGCCCGAGATTGAAGAATAGATTTGTCTCCAAAAAGTAATTTAGAAGATGGCCGTAATCCAAGCTTGATGATAGCGGAGCTACGTCACTGATGTGATAAGGAAGACGGTGGCGTTGCAGAGCATTCAGCCCCCTGTGCTGTCTGGCAGATTGTTAGCTATTTTTTAGCCTCCAGGATCAGCCCCAAAATACCCCAGTGAAGTAGTCGCGTTGGCGACATCTGGCCCAGCTTGTTTAAAATCGAATGACTTAATGGTCTGCGGGGAAAAAACGAGCGGGCATTGTAATAATGATGAAGTGTGTTCAGTCTATCCTCATGAAAAGAAACAGGAGTGAGCGACAACTGTTTGTGATGTTTGTGATCCGACCATTCCTCTTCCTCCACCAGCTCACCTGCTCAAGAACACACACTCAATCATGAATTCTTATATTATTATTGTTATTATATTATTATATAATGACTCTTCATAGACGTTTATTTTAAATTTAGAGTGATCAGTGCTCGGTTCAATAAGTCTGTAATTTGACTCAGTACATAACCATCGTTCACCATATCATTGGCACAGATTCCTTTTATTAAGCTTGTGCTACTTCAGTAGAAGTACAACACAAATGTGTTTTTCCATCACCTCACAAATATCTTGTGATTTTTGCCACTCAACTGTTTCTGGTTTGAAACTTTCCCTGTGATAAGTTATTGCCCTTTTAATTTAATGGTTGATTCGTTATGTGAATAAAAGCTATGTTTTATGAAATTGCATTGCTGCCCTGTGTCAGTGAAGGCACACAGACACACACACACAGACACACACGCAGACACACACGCAGACACACACACGCAGACACACACGCAGACACACACACACAGACACACACACAGACACACACGCAGACACACACACACGCACGATGAATTGAATTTGAACTTTGGGGTTTTTCTTTTTGTCCTTTTCCAGTCTGAACTGTGATCCTGATCTGATGAATAACAAATGACTTTAGTGGTGTTGTTATTTCCTGTGTTTCTGAACTATCTTGCGCTGTGGATAATTTAGACTTTCTTTTGTTTTTTGTATTTCACTCTGCCTCTCTGGTTAAATTGTGATATGGTGAAACATCAATACTTGAAAGTGTGAAACTGCAGAATCTTTGGCCTCAGGCTGTGTCTGGATGTCAGTTGTGTGTGGAAGTATTTTTGTCAGTGCACAGACTTTTGCCATCAGTGTTGTTTTATTTGTTTGATTATTTTCTTGTTTTGTTTTTTCAAATAGTACATTTCTAATTGATTGTTTTATCCATTTATTCATTTTGTATTGTGTGTCATTAATATTATTATTATTATTTTTGTGATTTACTATTGATAAGTACATTGTGGCTCTGAGTTGATCCGGTGTGCATGGAGGTGTGCAGTAGTGATGCTGTGGGTTTTTTTCTTCTGCTTGTCCTCGTGCATTTACTTGAACATAATGTTGATATGGTTTATTTTTGTTTGTTCGTTTTATTTTTATTCCGTGCTCTTCTGTTGGAGGCAGTATGGCTGAAGTGAGTCGTGGTTAACTGTGATTCAGTGAAGGCCCCCCCCCCCCCCTTTCCTCCTCTTCTTGCACTGGCTCTGCCCAATCGCCTTTTTTGCTGTATAGGTTACAACTGCTGATGCAATGAGCTGCCAGAGACAGCATCAAAATGTTTTTTTATCGTATAGTTTAATAAAAAACCCTATGATGGCACTATATACAGTTACACTTGAGCTTTGTTTTTTCTTCTGAAGCAGGTGTGCAGATGGATACGGGTATTTTGTGAAAGGTTGTTTCTGTGTTTGCCTCTGGGGGAAGTCACTGTAGTGGAGCAGTGTGATGTGAAGTGATGTTTGTGTTGGACCCTGCTGTGTCCCTCCATCTTATTCACTCCAGCTGTCTCTTCATTTTAAAAAGTGCTCCACTGAAAACCCTACACCGTGACAGAATGTTCCTCAATGTTTACCAGTTAACTATCAGGCTGCTAAAAAACAAGGCGTTCCTGAAAAACACCTATTCCACCAGTAATCACATATATTTCATGACTGAAGCGGCCTGTAGAAATTATGCATTAAATTCACAAGAAAGTAAAAGAAGGGGGAAAATCCATAGTTTGAAATGAGTCTTGTTAAACTGTGATTTTCAGCAGTTTAAATCTCGTTCTACTCTATAGGGCAGAAGAAAAAACAACACACACTGTAAAAAAATTACGATGAGAAGAGGTCTCCTGAACATGATGTCAGGAAGAACAAGGGATTCTGTTCACATTTGGTTAAATGGTCACTTGAAAAGAGCTCATCTGAATTCAGTGCTCCCTGAGTTGTTCTGACAAATGTCTCAATGGATAAAATGACCAAGTGCACAAATTAAACAACAAAACTCATGAATGGACAGAGAGATTGTGGCCACACTTCCTGTAACTTGACCAGTCGATGGAGGCACACAACCACAAGGTATTTACTCTTGAGTTAGTTTCACTCCATGTACTCATGATTCATGGTTCACTGTGTTTGCTAGAAGTTTAGATCTTTCTCCAGGAAGTCTCACGTTTATAATGGCCACTCCTGAATAAATGTCAAGTGTCTTATCAGCCTTGTCATAAGTGAGTCACAAGTTATACTTGAAAAACCCCACAGCCCAACCTTTCCGTCACATGACGCTAAATCCAGGAATGAACAAAGGCGACTTCCTGTGAAGACGCAGTTTTTATAGTCAGGATTGAGGGATCAGATTAGCAGGAAATGATAAACATTACTCTGTAAATGGTTTAACTGTTTTACAACCTAACCTGGAAAATATTTTGGGATTTGCAGTTAAACACGTGCGTGTTGTTTAAGGGGAATTTACTCCACCTACTCACACTGATTAACCCACCTTGCCATAAACTTTAGTTTTTAAGAAAACGCATGTAGATTAAATTCTGAATCAAACAATGTTATTATTCATACTGAGGATGAGTGTACAAACATGATCTGAGTTGGTACCTCACACATTTTTTATTATAGTTCTGTAAACAAATACATCTTCATCAGAAACACACAATTCATTTGTACAGTATAAACATTTCAGTTGGCACATTGGAATCACATTTATTCTCGACACCTTTTTATTTATCAGTAGAAGTGGGACTATTTGTCGTCCTTCAACCAACCACATATTTCACTTTTCATAAATGAACGTCAGCATTTTAAACATCACAGTTCGGCTTGTGTGAAATTGTGAAAATCAACCCACTTGTGCTTTTTGTTGTCTGATCCTTGACGTGGATGATGACAAAAACAGTTGAAAAGTCCTTTTGTCTAATTTCAAGCTACAGGTGTTGGTTATAGTGCAAATGTTTAGTTTGATTCAATGAACATGATGATTTTAGAGTTATTGTCTTTAACAAGCCTGTATGAACAGTTAACTCATGTAGAGCTAGTGTTGTATAGAGAAACATCAATTCAATATTTCAGTCAAAGCTGCTTTGTGTAGATTTTTGTATATAATTATAATTTTAATATTTACATAGTTCCAATGATCCAGATAGCTTGTGATATGATGTCCAGAGTCAGCCCGGTGTCCATCCACATGGTTTTTTTTAAACTTCAACCAGGGGTCAGTAAAGTCCAACATTAAAAAAGCCTTCAAATTGTGGCTTTAACATCGGTGGTTCAGTTTGAAGTGTTGTCAGTTGTGTGTCACAATCATTAAGTGCAGTTTAAAAAAATTGAATTATGCAGCAATATATTGCAGTTCCAGTAAAGTCCAGTGAGTGTTCAGAGGGTTACTCTGTGAGATGAGGGGTAATTGTGAAAAAAGCCGTAGTGGTGCTGGGGCTGGGGCTGGGGCGGAGGTTTCCTCGCATACAGCGCATGTTTCCAGTGGTGAACACACACTGCAGAGGCCACAGCACAATGACAACGAGCAGCACGATGAGTGCAATGAAGAGCACCATCCTCTTCCAGTCTGTCAGCCGGCCCAGCACACCATCACTGCGGGGCCTCGTCTGCACCGGGGCTCCGGCCGTCTTGCTGCCCCCAATGTCTATGCAGATGCAGAAGGCCGTGGGGTTTTCGGATGTGCCCAGGCCGGTGCTGTTCGGTGAGGTTTTATAGCACAGCTTCTCCCCCTCCAGCCACACCGGTTCCTCCTGCTGCTGGTGGTTGGGAAGCTTGCATAGGACCTCGCGGCTGGTGGCCAAGGCTGGGGGCCCCTCCTCGGGGAGTGTGGTGGGGTGGCGACAGAAGGGGCAAGAGAGGCGTTTGCTGTCATCGTTGCCGTCACCGTTGCCGTCACCGTTGCTGTTGTGCTCGGTCTGAGACACGGCCATGAGGCGGGAGAGACACTCCAGGCAGAAGGTGTGGGTGCACTCCAGCAGCTTGGGTGTCTTGAAGACATTGTCGTAAGTGTTGTAGCAGATGGAGCACTCCGGCTGGTTCATGGCCGACACCCTCTTTTGGAGCTCTCTGCCCGTGTCTTGGGGGTTGACCTGCACATGCCAAACCTGCGGATTTTGGTCCATTTTTTTCAGCAGCCTTCCCTCTCCTGTGGACTGTGCGATCTGGATGAAGACAAGAAAATGAAATATGGATCTTAGTTTTCATATTTTACATGACGTCATGGAAACAAGTGTAAGCAAGAGCAGATAGACAACAACAATCATTTTTTCAGTCAATCAGTAAATTCATAGGGCCCAACTGAATGTTGATCTTTGAGCCAACTACCTTCACACACAACACACATTTAATTACAGAGGTGACGCGACTCAGTCAATGAGTAATTGACTGTGTGGGTGCGATGAAAAAGTCATGTTTAGGAAAACCACAAATAGGCTACAATGTTTACCCCACTTGTAGCGTGGGCAGCTCTGCTCTGACACATTTTGTTTGGACAAATAGTTCCTATGGGACTCCGGCCCTGAACAGAACAGCAGACAAACAGTAGTTGAGAATATGATTCCACCTTTAAATCACGAAAGTTATACACCTCCACTGACCACTAGTTTATAGATGTAATGCCTGACCAGTGACTCAGTGTCCAGGTCATGAACATGTCTTCAAACCCAGAGAGCCCACCTTCACAGTCACTGCAGAATGGATTATCTGATTTTCCCACTGAGCCCAGTAATAATTAGCCAGTCGCTGTGCTGCACGGTGATGATTTATGTTTTTCTGCCGGGCCAAGTCTTGGGCACAGAGTATATGAGAACAAACTTTATGATCCTCACCTGTTTACAATGATTCTTTTTTTAAAAAGGCTGTTTTAGCACATTTGCTGCTCCCTGGGCTTTAATTTGTTTATTTTCGGATCGTCTCAAATAACAATACAATACAGATGGTGCAATATGTAACCAAAGATTACACAAACGTGAATTTACCTAAGAAAAGTTCAGGCCTGAGCTCTATCTTGCTATTTTCAGCTCTTTTGCGTCTCCCCTAGACACTCTGCTGGACACACTCAATTTTCTCAATTACATGTCCTTTCCTTCTTTTATCAAAATGAACAAGGACTGAACAGTGCGAAAGAGCTGCAGGCCAAACAGTGACTAAATGGCAGAAATCGACAGAACAGCTGATCCATAGAGCTGCTGACAACATGCAAATTGACCCCTGATACCATGTAAATGTGACAGACTGTCAAATCAATACAGTGCAACGCGTAACAAGTGTGGGTAAGGGTCCGCTCACACGTTCGCAAATGTTTCAGAGGTGAACCTTCGTATTCGCAGGCGAAACGCAGGTTGACTCCGTGTGGAGTTGAACTGTGGTGAACTAAGACAGATAAATATCTTAATCCATGTTGTTTATGGAGTTTACATGCAACAGCTTGATTGTGCTGTTAACATGAATTCACCACTGAGTCTTTTCATTTTCATTTGGCCTCACACCAAGAAGGTTCCCCGTTCAGGTCCCACTTGGGCTGATAGAGTTTACATGTGTCTGCCTGAGCTGTCTCCAGGTTTTCCAGTTCTCTCCCACAGTACAAAGACAGGCCAGTCGAGGACAGGTTAACCCTAAGTTGCCTGTAGGTGTGAATGGCTGTCTCTATAACAGCGACTGAGCTGTTACAGCGAGTGTGGCTCAGCACCAGGGATGAACACAGGCCGTTTTGTTAATGTGACGTTTTGACCATGTGTTCAGATATGATTGAGACAGCACAGTGCAGGAGCTGGACAGAAGCTAAAATACAGGTTTTGAGTCACTGTGGATCTCCATAGACCAGGTTTTGGATCACTGTGGATCTCCATAGACCAGGTTTTGGATCAGTGTGGATCACCGTAGACCAGGTTTTGAATCACTGTGGATCACCGTAGACCAGGTTTGGAAATGATAAAGTGAGCAGGACTCTGGGCTTTGAGGCTGAACCTCGTCTCCTTGTTTCATGATGCTGAGAGCATTACATGGTGATAGCCCTGATGCTGGTGTTGTGGGTCAGGTATTAAAGGGCACTAATGTGAAGAGGACTGTTTGCGTCTGCGTGTCAGGGATGAAGGATGGCCGGAGCACAGGTGTTCTCCTCTCCGTGTCCTCTGGGCCGGTCCTCCCCCAGTGTTCTCATCCACACAAAGTCTCTGCTTGTTCTCTGCTTAATCGTTCCATCTGCCCTTGAAATTCCTCCACCTGCATCTCTCTCTCTCTCTCTCCCTCTCTCTCTTATTATAACATGCTTTAGGGGGATGAAGACAGATTTTGTGTACTATTACACTTGTCTTATCAATTAAAGGCCCCCACCCACAGATCCTGACTCAGTTTCCCTGCTGGTATCGGACAATGATGCAGTGACAAACTTTGTGTTTTTATTTACACCCCTTCACCAAACACTAAACAAACAAAACACCTGTGCAATTCAAGGAAGGCCTTTGAATGTTCAAATATTAGCACAGTTGCTTCTCGATCTCAAATGAGGCTGCTGGATTGTGCAAAGAGCAGTTTTCAGAACTGAGTCAACAAATGGAAGCAAAATTAAGAGATGATTACTTTGGAAGAGAGCACGCAGAAACAGCTTGTGCCAGATATCTCAACTTTGCTTTTTCACTTCACTCGACAGTTGGTCGATTGTTTTGCTCAAATCAAGTCGTATGGAATTGAATAGACAGGAGTGAACCTCAGCCAGGGAGGAAGTAGCTTCGCCTTTTGTTCTCTACTGATATGTCATTATCATTTGACTCTCGGGATGTTCACAGTATCAGGTATGGTGAGTGCTCATTCCTCACACCCATAATCAGGTTAATCAGTAAATGTAGACACAATCTTTATGAGGAGAAGGTTTTCTTATGCCTTGGGCTGTTTTGCCTGTAGTGCAGGAGCTTAGTTTACAGAAACCTGCACTGAGACTTTCCCCACTCTCTGTCTAAACTCCTGCTGGTCTCATTTACAAACGCAGAAGAAAACGCTTATGACATGGTGATCTGACCCTCTGGAGAAGTTTATCAATCATGATCGACGACTGCACTGAGAAGGAGTTAATGAACATTTGAAAAAATGTCACTTCTTCTTCAGGAAAGGAAGGAAATGAGAGTCTAGATGACAAGTTTTGGGGGATTGTAGTGATACTTGTTGGTGTCAACAGTTGTATCATTGTAAAATCATGAATTTAACCGCACAACAGCTGTAATTGATTATCTATGTGGTTCTACACTGGTCGCCCAGGCTGATGCGGTTTTTGTGACAGGGGGTCATGTGACAGGAGCCTGAAGAATCAGCAAAGGTTACATCATGAACTTAAGTCCCAATCAGAAAGCAGCCGTTAGTATCCACATCAGCTCCAAACGTCTTCATCCAGACTAAAATGCTGTCCCAGAGTTTTCATACTAAAATGAGGCCCTCTGTGTTTTTTAGCTGCTCTAAAACTGTGGAGTAATAATGTGGATGTTGCTATACTTAAAGTGAGACGATACAACTTATCCTTCCTTTTACAATTTTACTGCTCTGGTACGACCAGTAGCATTAACTTGACTTTTTCAAACTTGTTACATTATGTTTTTTTATCACTAGCCAGTCAAAATAATACAGAGTCACTTTCAAGTGAATAAAAGTTTGATTGACTGTTTCAACGTGACTTTCAACGTGAAATGGCATATTCAAAAGAAAACTGTCCACAGTCCATGTGTAGGAAATAAAATCAATAAGGCTTTGACGTCCAAACTGTGGGGGTATAGGTCGTAAGGACGTCACACTCAAATATTAACTAAGACTAGGTTGTGGATAAACCCATTAGAACTGCAGCTTCAGACATGAGACCTTATCTTATCTAACTGTAAGTTATTTTGCTTGGGATGTATTTTTATGGTCCTCCGTCTCTATCAGCCGCATATGTCTTTGTTCAACTGTCCCACTGACCCATTAGCATACAATAGTTTATCGGTCATGAGACCTCATTCGTTAGTCAAATTGGACACATTTCTTTTCCTACCCCTCAACTGAAACACTACACTTTTTCTTTTGTCAGCAACATTTGGTGTGTCAGGTTCAGCCTTGTCTATCTTCACCTATATGTTTGGCTCAAACGGTCATCCACAATGTTGTCCTTCCTGTTCTTAGCTCGAGAGAACGGGAGGGGGTGAGTGTGGTGGTTGGTTGCAGTCAGTTAAACTGAGCTGAACCTGAACGTGCAGAGATAATGTGTGTAAATACAGCAGACAATGTACGAAACTGTAACCGCTGACAGAGTCCTGCTGAAAACTCATCATGAGCCTCATCCATCCGTCACAACTTTCACATTGAGTTCAGTGTCACACACAAGGTAAAGAAAGTATATCATTCATTGTTCACACAGATAAATCATTGTGGATGCTGTTTCTCAGTAGTTGGGTTTTAGTTGAAACTTTAAAAAAGTCAGGTTATATTCGCAGTCTGAAGAAAATGCTGAAATTAAAAGATCAGTTGTAGTCACATGTACTGGCTCTTTCACACTGAGTTAAGTTTTAGACAAAGTAAAGAAAGAACCTCATTCATTACAGATAAATCCTGTTGTTTCCTATTAGTTGTTTTTTAGTTTAAGGGGAACTTTCACTTAAAAAGAGTGAGGTTATATTCACAGTCTTTAACAAAATGAACGTTTAAATTTAAAACAACATTTGCAGTAAAACGTATTCCAACAACAACAACAAGGATCAAGGTTAAGTTTACCTGCTGAGTGAAGACGTCCTCTCTTTAGCTCTCAGGGCTCGGCTCTCTCCCACTGCTCTCAAAAATAAATGTTTGGATTCTGAAGTCAAAGTCGACTTGTCTTGTGAGATCCCTCAGGCGGGGAGTGCTGTGGCCAGTCTGAGGTCCTCCTCTGCACTGCTCTGAACAGTGTGCTGCAGCCACAGGTGTGTGTTTGTGTAGGTGATGTGTGCTCAGAGTATTAGCTGTGCTGTGCAGCTCTAGATCCTCCTTCCCTCCTTTTAGCGTCGGTTGGCTTGGTATCACCTGCCTTGCTCTGTCAGCCCCCCTCCCCTTTTTTTTAGCACTTTATGCAAATGAGTTAAACTGTTTCCAAGCCTTGAGGTGGTGTCTGGCGGGCAGGGAGTAGGGGGAGGAGGAGGAGGAGGATGTGGTTGGGGGAAAGAGGGATAGTAATACACATTCTTGCTGTCTCTCCACCACTCCCTCCTGTCTCCCTGTGTGTTGATATCTTCTTCCTCCTCCTAACCTCTTTCTTTCCGTCTTCTCACAAAAGAACACACACACATAATGCAAATATCCCTGCACCTCCAGTCCAATGAACAGCACCTTCAGGTGACGGTTCATGTCTCATCTGTGTTCTCAAGGCTGCATCTTCCCCCCCCCCCCAGAATGACAAAACATAAACTTGTTTACACGCAGGTTTAACACTTCTCTACTGGACACACAAACAACATTGTCATCATTTCATCAGCCTGTGTGCTTTAGTAACACAATACATGTAAGGGTTCATTTCCATGTAGTCAGTGATAAGGTAACAGGTGGTGAGACAGGACTACCTTCCCACTGGAGCCTTCTATGTGAATAACCTCTTTATCCTTACAGGCATACAGTGCATACAGAACAAAGATAGGTAGGTATGTGGGTGGGTAGGTAAGTAAACAGATAGGTAGGTAGGAAGGTACGTACATAGGTAGGTAAGTAGGTAGGTAAGTACATAGATAGGTAGTTGTGTCGGTAGGAACATAGTTTCGGCATCTAGTTGCTGAAAATACAGGCCAAGAAAAGCACTTAAGAATTAAAGAGGTAAAGTTAAAGGCTGTGCAAAAACTCAACAGGTTATCAGTGTTAAATCCGAAAATACTAAAGTGTATTGTATAAAAGTGAGGAAAACATAATCCCACACATATTGTGCAAAAGGAACTTTTTCAAATGATTCAAGTGTATTATGAAAACCATGATGTCATGTTTGGTCTCAGCAGACAAACTCCTCAGACAGATTGATCAGAGAGGAATGTTTTCCTTATGTGTGTGCTATCAATATTTAATCCAAGAAAATAAACACAAACGTGCATACAGCAGGAAGAGGCTGCTGCTCATTGGGATGAATATAAGGATGTTTTGTTGTTTTTTACTTATTTTATTACTCATTTCATTTTATGGCAATGACTAATGGCTTTTTGCCATTAGCAATAGCATGCATCTGCAATAGCAGCTGCCTAACTGACTTGGTTATTTAGTAACCCAAACTCAAATACAGTCATATCATATCAGCAATGTCATTAAGGGGCTTTGAGGCTGTGGGAGATTTGAGGAAGGAGAAGGGATACAATCACGAGCCATTTTATTTCCTTGCCAGGAATCCACAGTCCTGGCTTCATAATAAACACATCAAAGATTGAGTAGCTGGCACAGTGAGACGTAATAACCTAGGTGAGATATATTGCAGGATGGAAGGTTGGTGAGGGTGGGGATGGACACACGTGAGCAGGGAAGGTCTGTGTGCAGGCAAGGCTATAAAATAACACATTGTTGACTGTCTCTCCACTCGACCCGATTTACTCAAACACCAGAGTTCAAAGATTGTATTTTCAGAGTCTGTCGCCAAGAGGCCAAGGGCAGAACCCAGGCTCTGTGCATTTTTCCAGGTAAAACATACAGTGTTAGGCTGTGTGCACATAGGCTGGATGATACTGGCCTTGTGTTTATAGTGGAGTAATGGCCCATGTGCTACTGTCCTCCTCTGTCATAGATCTTTTTTTAGTAATATTCTTATTTTTTGGCATTTCAGCCTTTATGTGAAAATCACCTGTGAAAAGGCAGATGGAAAACAAGGGTATAGAAAAGAGGTATGACTGGAGCAAAGGTCAATAAGTATACAAATATATATAAAAATAATTGTGTTTAAAGTTAAAGTATTTGCTGCATGTAGCCTACTACGCTCTATACTTCATCATTATAACTGTCTCGGCCTCTAATGAATCCAGAGCCCGCTCTGATTGGATCATTGGACCAATTCCCCTCTCAAACACATGAAAAATGTAATACAGTAAAGTCACTAAATAAATATACTTTGCTACATCCCACCACTGTGTTTATGAAGGACCAATAACCTGAAGAGATCAGGACAATTTTTACCTGAAATATACAAATGCTACTCGCTATTATATTGATGTTAATTACTATTAATCACAGTTGTAGAGTTTTAGTCTCATGCGTGGTGTGACTCTAGGGTTAGGTGGGTCGGTCACGTTTTGACCAGCATGACAAATCTCGATTATCAAGATCAACTGACAATAAATTATCATGATCAACTGACAATAAATTATCATGAGCAAACAACAACATCCCATCTAGGTCAACCTGTGGGCAAAGTTTTCTCTTATCTTGTGAAATATTCCATCATCTACGTGATGGACTGCCACAACATTTTGACCCAGCTCCAGCATGAATGATGATTACTTCTGGTTAGAGTTAACTTTACAACTTACCATAACTTCTATTGTTTTAGGTTTTTGGCTGTGTAATCTAGGACATGTTTTTACACTTCCAGGGTATTTTTGCTGCTTGGGTTTTTCACAATAATGGCCTGGGGGCAAATTACACATTTTTATACGTTGTTGTGCTTCTTCGCATTTGTAAATAATATATGGACTTTTTCAGATCCTGTGATTTACACACAATGATCCATTCACCCTATGCCACACATTATTTACATTGACCATCAGTGGTAATTTAAGGGCTCAGTGTCCTGCCCAAGGACAGCCAGGGTTCGAACCATCACCCAGAAGGTCAGTGGCCAGTGACACCTGAACACCTGAATTTATTTGTACAGTCTTTGGTGATGTGAGGGTAAAGAAAGAGGTGACTGGCATGATGAAAAGGTCCACTGCTGGATTTGAAACAGAGACTTTGCTGTTAGGCGGTTCTGGTTCTTTGGCCACTGCATCACCATGACTCCCAAAAGCTGACATTTACCAGGATGAGTCTTGAAATAGCAAAGTCGTCACTATGTTGTGTGTAGCATCAGCCACTGTTGATGGATTATAGAACAGGCTTTCCAGGCACAGGCCCTGTGGGCCCGAGAGGTCATAGGCCCAAATGACACAACACAAATAGAAAGAGACACAGAATGAACATAACAAGGACCACAATGAGAACAAAGATACAAAAGGTTCCAGGGAGTCCCTCGTAGGTGTGGAGGCTTCGACTGGGCTTTACTAAGGTCAGGTGTCCATTACGTTACATGTGGTTTTCAAATAATCTTATAATCTAACCCAGACGTCAAAAACCAACAACAGTGTAAGGACGTGGTTACGTTTTTCACCACTCTCCATTTATTGATTACTCAAACACTACTTTAAGGATATCCATGAAATAATCATTTTTATCTATCTAAACACAGTGGAAGGATCTGGTATGTGTCAGGAAATCCTCATTTCAGTAAATGGCATAGTTCATATTTGTCTTCACTTATAGATTTTACTGTTTATATAAGTGTAGGTTTACACACTGAACAAGTGACATAAAGTAACCTCACACTCTGGACTCATTGCTCAGAAAGAGGGGGATAAGGTGATAATACATAAAACACTAAAGTGATGAGGAAACCAGACACCTCAGGGTGCTTCTGCACCTGTCAACACCACACCAGCTGCTTCTCTACACCTCAGCAGCAGCAGTCTTACATCTGATTTTCCAACATGAGAGAAAAAAAGGTGTCAGTCAGTATGAATTTGATTGTGAAACTTCGCTGAATGGATGAATGCATGCCTGGATAAAACACTTCCTGTCTGCATCCTCTCTTCACAAGTTTAATGGTGAGAAACAAACAACATCCAATGAATGTTATGGTTCAGATGTAGGACAAACAGAAGGAATGTGGTTTTGGTGTAAAAGGTGTATTTTTTGACAAATAATGAGGCTACTCAATTGATTTCCATAACAACCAAGAACCCATTCAATTTAGAAGCTGATCTGGCTAAATTGGTGGATCCAGAATGTTTTTTTCACTTTAACATGATGAGATAGTGTGATAGCGTTGTCGATGGTATGCCCTCTCCAAGTGCCCCTCGAGTAATGAATAGCAGAGAGGGTTTTGAACCAATATAATTGTAATCTGACATTTGCGGGTTATATTTTTAGTATATATTTTTTGGGAGTTTTGTGTGCCTTTATTAAATGGAGTGCAGTTGTGAGCTACGTCAGGCAGTCAACTCAAGCTGTGCTGCTCTAATCATGTGACATGCCTCACTCTCCATAATCCTCTATCATACACACACTCCCAATTTGGAGGTCTATTTATGCTGCAACCCAGATAGCATACAGATGCGGGCCACTCCAGGCAATGATGGCCTTCTTTTGGCCTGGACAGAAAGGATCTGACCACTTGTAAATTAACAATTCTGGCCTAAAGATCCCAAAACAAATGTTGGCCTTTTCTGGCAAACATGCGATGCTCTAGAGAAGGTGAAATCTAGATGTGAACCTAAAGCGACCCATGTGGTAAATGGTGAATATGACTCAAATAGCACAAAACTATTTCAGCTACCATTTGTTGACACGCAGTATTGCTATGACTTACTTGTAGTCAAGATCTGACAAATAGGAGCGGATCGGTCAAATGCCATCATAACACACGATGTGTTGGCCAGATATAGGATGTTGGCCAAACCATTGTGTTACTTGGGAAGGGTTTCCCATCTCTACATTTTCGTGTCATATTTGCTGACCACTCCTCATTATACCTATGTAATCATAACTGGGGAGGTGATGAAGTCGGAGCCTTGACGCCAGAAACTCAAACCAGAAACCTGCTGCTCAGGGCCTGTATACCTGTGTAATATGTACCCAAACCATTCATCTATCAGGTCGCCCTATTTGTCATTTAGTTTAAATCTTTTCCATGTGTTATTGATATTGTCAGAAGCGATGTTGCTATTTAGTTTTACTCATTAGACTGTAAATTGTGTTTCTTTTGAAATATTCCGAGGCCACATCTATGTGTGATCAGCAGCGTCAAGACAACTTCAAAACAAAACGAGGTAATCATGAAATATATTGATTTACAAGCCTGTGATGGACGATTTTACTATGGTGCAGTATCTTTATGGCCACTGACTGCAAAACAGTCACGTTCATCCTCAAATGAGCTTTGGCCCTGCAGACATTACTGTAGTGCTCTGTTTTGCTGAATCATTATATCCAGGAAGGGGGAAGTAAATGTTTTTACCATTATCATTATTATTTTTATGAAATTGAACTAAAGTTTATTTATCTCAGGATGTACATGGCTTCGTCAGAGATGAAGACGAGTGAAGACAAGTTCCAAACCTCAGTCTGCTCTAGTTTCCATGAGGTTATCACAGTTCTAAGGTGAGCGCTCCATTACATAGACCTCACTGAGTTCAAGTAGAGTTTTATTCTGTTTGGTGTGAGATCATCATCTTCCCCTTCCCACTTGTGGCTGTTATTGTTACCTTCATGTTGTTTCTGCCTCTTGGTAAATCATCTCTCATTGGAGAAACACAAACACACACCCTAACGCTAACCTTAAACTAAGACTTAACCTAAACCTGTTTGGGGACTTGCTTGTTTGCCTTTTGTCCCCATAAGGAAAACAAGTGTCCATAGTGTAACAGTGAAAACAGATTTAGGTCCCCACAACATGAGTCTTACCACACACACACACACACACACACACA